GCAAGTTACTGAAGCTTATAGATGTATATAAAATGGCGCTTTTTTTTTTTTTTTAGAAATAACCTGTGAATTTAATATGTTTTTTGTATAATCTGAAAGAACATATTTATTTGAGAGGAAGATCTGCAAATGCCAGGTAACATTGATAGTTTAGAAATTCGTGATAAGGTTTTCGAATTAAAATTATGATTAAGAACGTGAACAAGAGGGCAGGCAAAGTGATATTAGGTTCCTGTCCCCTCTGAGATACAGACACTAAAGTATATAAGCATATGTACGTAGATAGGAATTATATGATAAAGATAAAACATTTTTCGTGTCTTTTATGAATATTTTGATTTTATAGGCTACACTGAGGTCAGGGATGCGGTGGCTGAGTGAATGTTGTGCTTTCTTCCTTTTTTGGTGCTGTCTGGTTCGTGCCTGGGGCTTATGACATTAGTTCCGGAAGTGAAGGTAGACTACAGTGCCTTGTTCACTTTAGTATTCAGTGTACTGTATCCACGTTATCCTCAAGGGGCAGTCAGGCCTGTGGGGTCTACTTTCAGCTCAGGTTAAGTTAATCTGAATAAATTATCTAAGGTCATTTTTGGTTAGTTTGAGCTTCAATGACATTATAGAGATGTCATTAGTTTACAGACTATTCGGGATGCGAGTGATGTACTTATTGCTGTACAGTACAAGTATTATACGCATAAATACTTCACCTCCTTGTGTATCCGTTTACAGGGTTACCAAGCCTTTCTAAATAGAATTTTGTTTCCTGTGTTGGCAATGAGTAATACGTGTAATTTGTGGTGTTGAATGTTATTTACTTAAGAACAAAATTGAAGAAGGGCTGCGTGACTAATTCTTGTGATTATCAAGTATTACTAAGTACGGATTTATACTTGTAAAGTGGATAACTCTACTGTGTGTGTGTGTGTGTGTGTGTGTGTGTGTGTGTGTGTGTGTGTGTGTGTGTGTGAGATAGGGGGATTGAGGAGTGTGGATAAAGTATGCAACGAGCGTGTGTGTGTGTGGGGGTGGGGGGGTGGTAGACAAGAGGCGCCAACAGTCGAGAGTGTGTGGCTCGCCTGGTAGACACTGTGGCTCCAGGGAGGCAGACTTTTGACGCTTATGTAGAGTGTAAGACTATGATTTATATTATGAGACTATAAATATACATTACGAAGAAAAAAAACCGTAATAAAGTTATAAAATATACTTATAAATTATAAATAAAGACTAATTTGAGACTAATTCTGCAAACATACTCTGGTATATACATCGGAGTCTTATAAAGTGTACTTTACCAGGCTAGAGGATAATTAGTAAGAGAAATAACAAGGGGAAGTATATAGTGACTGGCCAGCCTCTACCACTGGCGGAATTCCATTAACTGATGGCTGGCGTGTGCTGGACGAGTGCGGGTAATTGTCTAGTGTAAGTGACGTCTGCCTCTCTCTCTCTCTCTTTCATTTTCGTCTGCTTTTTCTCTCTTTCTCTCATTTCATTTTGTTCTTCCCCCATCCGTTTCTCATTCTATTTTGCTCCCTCTCATTTTCTTCTACTCTCTCTCTCTCTCTCTCTCTCTCTCTCTCTCTCTCTCTCTCTCTCTCTCTCTCTCTCTCTCTCTCTCTCTCTCTCTCTCTCTCTCTCTCTCTCTCTCTCTCTCTCTCTCTCTCTCTCTCTCTCTCTCTCTCTCTCTCTCTCTCTCTCTCTCTCTCTCTCTCTCCTCTTCCCTCTCAATCGTCCATCTCTTCCCCTTTACCTCCCACAGTCCTCCACCTCTTTCTCTTCCTCCCAGCCAGAAGTAGGTCTTCCCAGCCGTCACTCTCCAGCTTCACTCACCTGACTGAACCTCTCACAACCAAAATAATATAGGAGTTTTTCCCCCTTATTCATGCTCTTGGCAGTTGTCAGCTTGCTCTAACACAAATCCTCGATGTTGTTGTGGTCTGGGAGGACAACAGGGAAACTTCTACCATTGATTGTAAGTTACGATACATAGAGAAAGTTTTATGTAAGAAGTGTGGTTTAATGAAAGAGGGAAACCTAATATATATTTGGGTTTATGATACGGGAAATCCTGTGTAGAAATCTGGTTTTGTGACACGAGGAATCCTTATAAAAATATGACTTTGTTACAAGAAATCATTTTAGTAATCTGGCTTTATGACACTGGGAATCGTTTTAGAATTGGACTTAGGTTAGAATGACCCCACTTGAGATGTGGACTTAGGACTTTGAATGCCCTAGAACTCGGGAATTAGAGACACGTTAAGTCCTTGTATCTTTCATTTACGACACATAAAGAAAACATCTCGAGTGACGTGGGTGGAACAAGGTGATGGAAAACTCCCTATGCACCAACGATAAGTAATAGTATATGTTGTTCCTATACGTTTATTGTAAGCAGAATAAGGTACATCATTATATGGTTGACAATTGCCACTGCGCAATGACTTTTTTATCACCCTGTATAATAATTATACTATTGGGTGCTTTTAGCAGCAAGAAATTAAAACAAATCACGAATGAATTAGTGTGCGTATGTGCGTGTGTGTGTGTGTGTGTGTGTATGTGCGTGTGTGCGTATGTGCGTGTGTGTGTGTGTGTGTGTGTATGTGCGTGTGTGTGTGTGTGTGTGTGTGTGTGTGTGTGTGTGTGTGTGTGTGTGTGTGTGTGTGTGTGTGTGTGTGTGTTATTGAGGGAAGGCCATTTGAGAATCTTACAAAACCCGGGAAACAGGAGATTGACAGATATTAAAACATTGTTGGACTTTCCTTTAGCTCCTGATGTCCTTCACTGCAGTTCTTCTATTAGGTTAGGTTAGGTCTTGTCTCGTCTCGTCTCGTCTCGTCTCGTCTCGTCCCAGCGCCTCTGTGAGATGAGAAGAGTACAGCACTTCGCCAATTAACTTATCATGGAAACAAAACCACTGGAAGGATTACCATCAGTTTTGAACATTTGCTCTCTCTCTCTCTCTCTCTCTCTCTCTCTCTCTCTCTCTCTCTCTCTCTCTCTCTCTCTCTCTCTCTCTCTCTCTCCGCTGAATAACTGTATAATATACGCAAAACCCCCTTCACTAGTGCGTTTACAAGGACTCGTCATATAAACATTCCACAAATCATTACATTGAGATATTTGTTTTAACATTGTTTTACTTTGATTCCATATTATGTTTACTATTGCAAGTTTTCTTCTGTAGAATGTAAACAAACACAGGACTGCCACATTACACAAAACCTTACGAACACCTGTAAACGCACTAGTGAAGGGGAACTGTACCTTTTTGCTGTGTTTCCAATGTTAATATTTTCAGCCTCGTTACTTAATATTTTAACGATGACAATGACGACACGTGTTATGTATCCTCTTGTGTATATATGATCAGGTTCATAACTGTATTTACTGTATTTAGGTTCATACTGTACTGCAAGCATTTCTGAGACTAATATGTTAATTCAAAATAATGGTACAGAAAACATAGGAGTGATATGCAGACACATATAAACGGTACAGAACTATTACACAGTGATACATAAACATACAATAGTGGTACAGGAATATATAAGGCCGGTACAGGAATATATAAGGCTGGTACAGGAATATATAAGGCCGGTACAGGAATATATAAGGCTGGTACAGGAATATATAAGGCCGGTACAGGAATATATAATATATAAGGCTGGTACAGGAATATATAAGGCCGGTACAGGAATATATAAGGCCGGTACAGGAATATATAAGGGAGGTACAGGAATATGTAAGGCCGGTACAGGAATATGTAAGGCCGGTACAGGAATATATAAGGCCGGTACAGGAATATATAAGGGAGGTACAGGAATATGTAAGGCCGGTACAGGAATATATAAGGCCGGTACAGGAATATATAAGGCCGGTACAGGAATATATAAGGGAGGTACAGGAATATGTAAGGCCGGTACAGGAATATGTAAGGCCGGTACAGGAATATGTAAAGCCGGTAAAAAAATATATAACGCCGGTACAGTGATATATTCTGAAGGTATCCTAAGGGTCTTGGTGTAGTACTGACTGCTGTAGAACTAGTGATCAACAGGTCAATACTATACATCTCGATGGTTACCTTTTTTGGTGACATGTGAATCGGTGTCTGTCTGTCTGTGTCTGTCTATCTGTCTGTTGTCTTTTTATATAGATATGTTTCTGTGTCTATTTCTCTTACCATGTGTGTGTGTGTGTGGGGGGGGGGGGTGCTTATATCATCACCCCCACGTCCCAATGCCCCCTCCTCCTCCCCCCACCCCACTTGACTCTCCTAATTGTCCTTGATCTTTCGGGCGAGAGGAAAACAGAATCACCTCAATCGAGACCTAAAAATACTCCCACTTTATTCCCTGGGTGTCACTTCTACCAGCTCAGCCAAAAACCCACACTGTTCCGGGCTCTAACACATGAGACTCATTTCCCGCTGAATACGAGTGTTGAGAGAGAAAGAGAGAGAGAGAGAGAGAGAGAAAGAGAGAACCTAAGAGTCTGGGAGGAGGGGGGGAGAGAAGGGGAGCGTTTAGGAGAGATGGGAGTAAGGGGAGTAGAGAGGGTGAATGGAGGAGGGAGTGAGAGAATGGAGGAGGGGTTTTGGTGAGAGGTGTGATAGAGTGGAGGGAGGGAGGGAGGGTATGTGGGAAAGGATGAGAGGGAGGGATGGTATGTGGGAGAGGATGGGTTGGAGAGAGAGCCTAGCATGAAAGAGATAAATCTCTGAGGAGTGTTTGGGAAAATGTGAAAAAATTACCGGTGTGAAAGCGTGGCAAAGAGGAGAGGAGACCGTGGGAAAGTAGAGGAGACCGTGGGAAAGTGGAGGGAGACCGTGGGAAAGTGTGAGCGACCGTGGGAAAAATAGAGAGACCGTGGGAAAATAGAGGAGACCGTGGGAAATAAGAGACCGTGGGGAAAGTGTAGAGACCGTGGGGAAAGTGGAGGCGACCGTGGGAAAAATAGGGGACAAATGGGAAAATAGAGACCGTGGGAAAATGAGGAGACCGTGGGAAAATGGGGAGACCGAGGGAAGTGGAGGACAAATGGAAGAAGTTGAGAGACCGTGGAAAATAGAGACCGTGGGAGAATAGAGGAGACCGTGGAAAAATAGAGGAGACCGTGGGAAAATAGAGACCGAGGGGGAAGTGGAGAGAGACCGTGGAAAAGTTGAGGAGACCGTGGGAAAGTAGAGGAGGCCGTGGGAAAATAGAGGAGACCGTGGGAAAATAGAGGAGACCGTGGGAAAATAGAGGAGACCGTGGGAAAATAGAGGAGACGGTGGGAAAATTCACCGTATCATTTCCAGATTCATATTAATGTATATTTAAAGTCGTTTCTAGTAACAGAATAAGCCGTAATTTATGAACCACGGTAAACAACGCCAACACAAGCAATCACTAGAGCCTGTCGTTCATCTCCACCCTGCAGTGATACACGTGAATGCCTAATGGGTTGAAGATCATTAAATGGAAAAATAACAAATGTAAACCTGTGTATTGTAGTTAATATGTTTGAAAGCCTCGGGTTTCTTGGAGAGAGAGAGAGAGAGAGAGAGAGAGAGAGAGAGAGAGAGAGAGTCTTATCTATGTCTAATACTCTCAATCATGTTAAATTACCAGGCAGACAGACAGACAGAACCCTTGACGGCATGCACAATATCCTTACACATAAATAAATGGGCTGAGCAATCTATCTCACCTATATTTACTTGTCGAAACGTTTCCCTGGCTTAAAATGTTTCCCTGACTTGAAACTTGAAACGTGCCACTTGAAACTTATAACGTGTGACTCAAAACTCGATATTTTTTTGTTTTTTGATGATTTCAAGTAACATGGGGTCTAATCCTAATCCACCCTAACTGTAAGTATTGGAATTACTGGGATATAAAAGGATTGGGACCTATTTGACAGATAAACCTTGCAGCACACACACACACACACACACACACACACACACACACACACACACACACACACACACACACACACACACACACACACACACTCTCTCTCTCTCACACACACGCAGTGCAGAGAGATCAAACAGATGCAGTACGATGCCGTAATGAAAAGCAATCAACGTACTTCGGGGAGTTAGTTTCTAAGTTTCTTCATTTGGTGTTACGTCTCTGCTGGTGAACGCATAGCTACCTGTATTGAATAGTCCTTAAGTCCTTCCAGACCCCCCAAACTTGATCTAACTTAATTATTCAGACCCCAAACTAAACATAGCCTAACTAATCAGACCCTCAAGTTAACCTGACCTAACCTGACCTAACCTAACCTAATTAATAAAACCTAACCTAACCTATCAGCCCTAAAAGTAACCTAACTTAACTTACTAGATCCCAAATTATTATTATTATTATTATTATTATTATTATTATTATTATTATTATTATTATTATTATTATTATTATTATTATTATTATTATTATTATTATTATTATTATTATTATTATTATTATTATTATTTTTATAATTATTATTATTATTATTATTATTATTATTATTATTATTATCTAAGTCTTTACCATTAACAAATCATTATGGTGTTCTGTTAGACCTTCTCTCAGTCGTTGCTCCTAGTCTCTTGATACCCAAGTACATAATACACCACTTGTTATGTTGTGGAGGAAAAGTTGGTTTATATGTATCGCATTAAACCCGACATTAACCTTATATATACCTCATAACCTGAACCACAAAACGTGAGGGGAAGGTTGACGGTGATGAAGCCAGCCAGGTGAGAACACAGGTAGATCCGGGGCTTTGTTTTAGTGTTTTTGTTTAGTTTGTTGTTGTTTTGGTTGATTCTTGTTATGTGTTGAGTTATTTTAAGTTTTGTTATAGTTCTCGAGTATTGGCTGTCTAGGAGAGAGAGAGAGAGAGATTTGTTTATTTAAGTAGATAATGAGTCTAAGAAACTATTTCAGTAAATATTTCTCAAAAATTACATTACGTCACACTGAAATTATCAAGATGTTGTTCCCGCCATAGTATAAACGATGCTTAACTGGGTGATAACTCCTGGGTATGGGTCCGTCGGTGCATAATTCGTCTCCTTCAACAACTTGACAACTACCTGGTAAATCAACACAAAATTTAGCAGACGCCTTCCTACAATAAATATCTAGATTCAGTAGAAATTTGAGCGCATTCCATTTTTAATCCTCGGAGTTATGGCTTTCTGTCCCTGAGGTAGAAATTTTGGTCGGATCATACATTAAGTCTTGTTGTTTTTGTGTTTGTAAGAAATTTCATAGCTCGTCTTTACTTCCTCTTCTTTTATTATTTTCTTTCTGTGTTATTTGACATGAAAGAAATCTCATAAAATTTCAAGAGTTCTCATTTTGACGTCGAGTTGGGAATGTCCAGTCCATCACAGGGTACAAGGGGAGGTAGTGAGACACACACTCTCTCATTCTTTCCTTTTATTTTTTTTATCTCTATATTTTCTTTCTATCTTTTCTTTATCGTCTATCCTTCTTTATCTTTCTATCCTCCTTTCCTTATAGCTTTATTTCTGGTCTTTATTTATTTTTTCTCAATATCTACCAACTTTTTTAACTCTCTCTCTCTCTCTCTCTCTCTCTCTCTCTCTCTCTCTCTCTCTCTCTCTCTCTCTCTCTCTCTCTCTTGTAAACCCATATACCTTTCTTCCATTAGTCTCCCTTCTAATCCTGTGCTTCCTTCACCCTTCTTTCTCCATCTTTCTTCCTCCTCCATTGTTCCATCCGTTATCTATCTCTTGCTCCTGTCAGTTATATATTTCCTTTCCTCTTTTGTTTTCCCTTTTCTTTATATTCTTCCTTCGCCTCTAGCCCCTTTCTTCACTTTCCATTTTTTTTTAATTCTCTTTCTCCCTATTCTTATTTTACTCTGTTTTATTCTCTTTTATCATACATTTTTATTCTCTCTCTCTCGTTCTCTCTCTCTCTCTCTCTCTCTCTCATAATTTTACCTATTTACCTTTTCTGTCTTTCTCTTTTCCATTATAGGCCCTCTGTACCCACTTTCTCTTACTGTTCCATTGTTCCACCCTCAACCCTCCCAGCCACTATCCCACCCATTCCCCCATCTTCTTCCCTGCCCGCTTTCATCCTCTTACACACCCACTCAACTACCTCTTCATCCTTCCCTTCTCTTCTATTCCTTCCCTATCCCACCCACCTGTGCCCCCATCTCCTCCCGTTCGTCCCACATTCACCCTTTTCATACCCATCCTCACCTTAATCATCCCCCACTCCTCTTCCATCCTCTCCCACCCACTACCCTCCCACCCCACTCTCCCACCTTCATCCCACTCCTTCAGTCTTTCCTCATTTTCATCCCACTCAGCCATGCATCTTCCCCATCCCTACCACCCACCCTTCCCTTCCCCTCGTCCACCCTCCCATGCCCACTCCCCCCACACTCCCACCCATCGCCAACTTTCATCCCACTCAGCCATGTTTCTCCTCTCATCCTCTCCCTCTCCTCCCTCTCATCCCACCCTTCGTGTCCACCCCACCGTAACACAAAGCCGAGGAGCTTACCACCCACCACAGTCTCTATGCCAGAAATTTACATACGTGTGTTTTCAACCTATTTTATTTTGCCACAATAACCAAACACGCTTGTAAACATGTAAACAAATACATTTTTACAAAGTGCTGTCGGACCATAGAGGACATTATACCTCCGTGTAAAATATTTGTTGTTTTTCGTTAAATTTACTTAAAAATGTTTTATGATTTTATGAAGAGTTCATTTTATTTTACGATACCCTGGTTTTGTTTTTTTGTTTTCAGAATTTTTGTAGTTTAAAATCCACGAATCTCTGTGTTTTTATTGCTAAGAACCTCTTCATTTTTTTTGTGGGGCAAACTTTAACCCAAGTTTAGAAACTCAAGCAATTTTCTTATGAATCCCTGTATTTTTTATTTTTTTTTACAAGCCCTTATATATTTAGGAACCTTCGTAAACTTCAAGAACATTTACAATTTTTTCCTCGAGTTTCTTACATTTTGAGCAATTTTTTCTTCTAAAGTTTTATGCAGTATGTGTGTTGGGAAGGTGTGGGAAGGGGGATGGGAAGGGTGGGAAGGGGGTGGGAAGGGTGGCCAGTGGGATGGACTATTACCTCATGTTAAGTGACGGGAGCGAGGGGCGGCGGTGTCATCCTCACTTGTCTCCCAAATTGTGGATTTTTTTAAAGGCTTCTCTACGTAATATTTTCTCCCCACGAGATCTTAGGTCTTATTTCATACCTGCGATATTTTTTTTCCCTAAGGTCTTAAAGTTTTTTTTTTCATGATATTTTGTGATTTTTTACGGTTTCTCTCTCCAAGTTATTATGAATTTTTTTTTTACAATATTTTTTTTTTGCAGTATTTTTCATTTGATTTTACACATTTATTCACGCTATGTTAGACAGTATTGTTTGAGATGTGTTATATGATATTTTTCGATGTTTTACGATATATTTCTAGGTGCCTTACGATATATATCAAAGTGTGTTACGATATATTTCAAGATCTCATTATTTATATTTTTCAAGTTAAACGATATTTTTTACAATACTATAAAGTTGGATTATTTTCACCGAAGCAAAGACGATAGACATTTTCCAGAGAAATTTGACGATAGTGTTCCCTCTGGTCATAGAAGCCAAATGTTTTTCAAGATAACTTTAATCGAATTTGCTACAATATATTATGCTTTAACTTTCGAAAATACCCTTAATAATATTCCTACACTATTATCTGATGGATATAATTGGCTCTATTACAGTTTAATAGAGCCCTAACTGACTGACTGACTGACTGACAGATACAGTAACTCACTCTTTGAATCACTGGCATAATTTCTTCCTTAATAACTCCCTTTATCACTTACTTGCGTAGTTTCTAACTTAATAACTCATTCATTAACCCACTCTATGAACAATTGACTGACTGACTGACTGACTGACTGACGAACGTATATTTTTCGGGTGGTCGTACTGGTTCCGGCTAATATTATTAATTTTAGTTTTTTCCCCTAATCTGTAAAATCGTGCTATATTTTTTCAGTGAATTTACCTCGTTGTCATTCGTAGTTCTTTCAATTTAATACGATTTTATTATTTTATTTATTATTTTATTTAGGCCTATTATTATTTCATTTAGGACTATTATTATTATATTTTACTAGTTTATTCTCTTTCCTTATTATAACATTAGAAGTAAATAGCCAGTTAGTGACGAGTGAAGGACAATTTCTCGTGGAAGTCTTCAGAGGGTCGCTGGTCCCGCTCACTGGCTGCTCCTACGGCATTGACTTTTATGGGTATTTTATTGTTTCGTCCCTTGTTGAGTTCTGGCAGCCTTCATCCCCCTCTGCCACACCACCTCCGTCTTGTGCCACACCCCCTGCCACATAACCCCCTTGTTGAGTTCTGGCAGCCCTCATACCCCTCTGCCACACCACTCTTCCTGTCCTCTACCACTTATCCCTGCCTCACACACCCTGTTACATCCCGGCTCACTCCCTATTCTCACACCCCGCCTTACACCCTCTGCCACACTCTACCCTGACCTCACACCCTACCACATACCCCTGCCTCACTCCCACTTCCACACACATCCTGCCACACCCTCTGCACTGCCCTCTCCTACGAGTTCTCTCTCTCTCTCTCTCCATTTCTCTCTCTCTCAATATAATTAAATATTTAAGATGGATATTATACTAGGCTTTTACCTTACAAAGAATTATCACATACGACCATATATTGATCTATAGCTCCAATTAACACTGGAGGGATTTATTGCCTATACACCCGTCAACTTTTATTGCCATGCCAAATTTTCACATTTTAACAGGAAACATTATCTAACAAGTTGAATGGCGATTTATGACTGGTTAATTACCTCATTGCAACGATAGTTAAACGGAATTTTCGAAAAGGTTCTTTATATTTACGTTTGTTGAAGAGTAAAACAGTTGTTTTTTTATGCCAGTGTGTTGCTGTGGGAACTAGTGTTGTTTATGTGTTGCGTGGTGTCTGTCAGTTGTTCCTGATTGATGGTGTGGAATAGAACAAAGGTTTAGAAAAAAAAATGTTTTATATTCAGGTGGTTTGGGACATCGTTTTAATCTAGTGTGTTGGTATTGGAGATTGTTAATATATCCAAAATGAATAAGTAAAAATAAAAATCGACCTTGATTAAAAAATAAGTGAATAAAATAATGAAATAAAAACGAATGCAAATAGAAACGAAAAAAAAAATTAAACAAATATAACTTTTTTTTTTAAGACTCTACATTTATATCCAGATGGTCTCTTAAATCCACTATTGACGTCGGAAGGAAAGAAGATGTTTTACTCGATTTGCAAACTGTGTCCTTGGCCGTGGTCCAATACCCCTGGGACATACTAACGCACGACCTTTCTTATGCAACTTGGGAGCGAAAAGAAAAAGAATTAAGTCTCCCGCCACCGGAATGAAATTTATCAAAAAAAGAAAAATCGTACCGACCTCTCAATTTATTTTCCTCCCTCTTTCCCCCTCCCCTCCCCTCTCCTCCTTAGTCCTCTCTCCCACAGTCCTCTCCCCACTCTCCTCTCCCCCACAACCTTTTCCCTCACAATACCAGCATATCCCCCTCTCCATTCCCTCTTCCCACCCCCTCTCCCCTCTTCCCACCCTCTCCCCTCTTCCCTCCCTCTCCCCCTCTTTCCACCCCTCTCCTCCTCTTCCCACCCTGTCTCCTCCTCTTCCCACCTCTCCCCTCCTTTTCACCCCTCCTCCCCTCCCTACCCCTCTCCTCCCCTCTTCTCACCCCTCTCCCTCCCCCCTCCGATAATTCTTGAAGACTTAAATGAATAAAGCTTTTAAGATGATATATATTTAATGTTTTTATAGGTGGAGAGAGAGAGAGAGAGAGAGAGAGAGAGAATAAGAACGACCTAATGCACTTTCCACCCATCGTACTCTGATTTGCAGCTCCAGTAACTATCTCTTGCCGGAAGTGTGGTAAACAAACAAACAAACAAGCAAGCAAACAAACACCTATCTCTGCTGAAATTGAGATAGCCGGAAGTGAGAATAAATAGAGGTGTCTTCACTACTGCCTGGAAAGTTCAGTATACGAGGGGTGTTTATTTCTCTTATTTTTTTGGTTGGTGTCCATTACTGTAGGAAGGTGTGAGCTATAAATGACCTTACCTGATTTTTATTATAGAATCAATAATTTAAACAGTGAGGGCGAATATTCTTTAGGCTCGGTCCTATTAGTATACATATAGTACATACATACACTACATACTTACATACATACATACATATATACATACATACATACATGCATGCATACATACATACATACATACATACATACATACATACATACATACATACATACATACATACATACATACATACATACATACATACATACATACATACATACATACATACATACATACATACATACATACATACATACATACATACATACATACATACATACATACATACATACATACATACATACATACATACATACATACATACATACATACATACATACACATACATACATACATACATACATACATACATACATACATACATACATACATACATACATACATACATACATACATACATACATACATACATACATACATACATACATACATACATACATACATACATACATACATACATACATACATACATACATACATACATACATTACTCTACACCCTCAGCATTGAATTATATTACAGTAAAAATAACAACACTTTTCAGATTTATTTTCTAACATATGCAAATCTCCTTCATGGTTATAAAATGTAACTCCAATGTCAATAGAAAGTTAGTACCATATATAAAGACTTAGTACAATTGTAATTAAGCAATTGTAAATAACTTCCATTTGTCCATTATATTACCATGTTGACAGTCAAGACTTCCTCTGCCTGTCTGTCTGTCTGTCTGTCTGTTAACATATCGATTACTGATCCATAACTCGAGTTTTCATTCACCAGTGGACATAATATTGCACAGGTAACTTGCCCAGCAGATGAGGAAGGTAATTATTAGTGTTCCAGTCACTATGGAGGTGTTACGGTCCTGCCAGGTAATGTTTGCTTATTTTGTGAGCTGTATGTTACCTGTTAATGAACTTTGTTTGTCACCTGTGTCTTAGATCACGTTATTCCATGGAAGGAAAGGTATAAGCATTGTAGACGTAAATATAGATTAATATATTATGTGCCCGCTGCTTCCTTCTGTGTGTGTGTGTGTGTGTGTGTGTGTGTGTGTGTGTGTGTGTCTGTGTGTGTGTGTGTGTCTGTGTGTGTGTGTGTCACTTAAATTTTCCTGGTAATTTATCATGATCCGTTTAGTTTTTTCTTCTTTGATATAAACATTGCCGTCTCTTATCCCTTATCAGTAAACATTACCAGTGTGCCGTATATTCCCCGTTAAAAACATAGCTCTTTCTTGTCCCTGCAGCTGTTGAAGTCGTGCGAGGAGGTGACACTGACGGTAGCCACGACGAGTCAACTTCCTACGTCGGTGGTGGTGGCCCAGACGTACTCTTGGGTCACCCCTGAGGGCCGCGCCACTAGCCCACCCCCTGAGTACAACCCCCGCCTCCACCACCACCAAGTGTCCAGGGTCAGTACCTCTTTATGTTACCTCTTCAGACTATCTATAACTCCTCTTACTCGGTCTCCAAGATGCGTACCTCCACCTGTTACTATTGATCTCCAAGGTACGGTACTACCTGGTCTCCACGTACCTTTCTCTGCGTCTCCTGGGTCATGATACAACCAACTAAAAGCTGAACATAGTTATAAGTTGGTGGTCATTGCTGGGGTCCTGTCTGGCTTGTTTATTCTTTAAGGATTGGACAGGAAGATATATAACGATTATTTTTTGTTGGTAGTAGTAGTAGTAGTAGTAGTAGTAGTAGTAGTAGTAGTAGTAATAGTTGTAGTAGTAATAATAGATGTAGCAGTAATAATATTGTTGTAGTAGTTATAAATATAATGTTTTTCGTTAAAAGTATCTCTACTCTGGTGGGAGACTATGAGAAAAATAATCAAAATTAAATTAGGAAATTCCGAATAACTTGTTCTGAAATTGGCAGGGAGGGATGACGGTAATTGGCTTTCGAAATATGTAAATGAAGGAATTACTGACTTTAAGGATTTTTGGATTCTGAATACTCAAACTTTTTTTTTCTGCTACCGATGAGACGTGACTGAAAAGCTGGTACATGAATTCTTCTTACATTCTCAAAAGCGAAGTCTATTGTCACTCAAAATTTACATAACACTTGAAAGAATCATTAGCTGGGATGAAGGTAGAATTAGGAATGAATTAAGAACTAAGGTCATTATCTGGCGAGGGAGGGTGAGGGGGAAGGGGAGATTAAGGTACATGTATTACTGTAAGGAGTGGAATATGTGGATATGTGAATTGATGATGCAGGTGGATTCGCTTTGATGTTGGTGTGGATACCTTGAATATTTTACCCAATTGTAATAGAAAAATTGGATATAGTCGAGTTTTATTATTATTATTTTGTTCTTGTTTACTGAATTGATGAAAATAGATAAATAAAATAAAATTACGTTCAAAAAATTTTTATGATTGAGAACAGGCGGAATATGTTAATGACCCGGAGTAACCTTTAAGAGATTGCACTATCACCTCATCCAATCACATAACCTGACATTACCTACAGTCCCGACGTTATTTACCTATTGATATGACACCTCTGCACTGTCATTATGGTCCAGGTACAGTACTATCAGGCCGGGCGTACAGTAGAACCCTATTCTAACCCTCTATCACCTGCCATTACTGTCTCCTACGTGAACCACAAAAAACAGAATTAACTTATGAACTTTACGAGAAATAACATGTAACAGCAGGACGAGAAGGTAGATAGGAGAGAAATAGTCATAATAGGTTTTAGTGAAGTGTGAGAGTGTGGTGTAGTGAACCAACACCTGTAGTAGTTAGAATGGTACATGGGGTGAACTCTTTAGGTATTCCCAGTGATTTCTCCTTCAATAATACTCCATAGGGGCGTTCTGGGGCTTATAATTTTCTTCCCACGACTGTATTATTCTCAATAGTTTCTTCCAAATTTGATTCTTATAGGCAAGATATTTGATCCTACTCTGGGTAAATAACTCCTTAATTAGCATGATATCCTTATCCGATCCTTGAGTCCTTCCTAGCTCGGTTCCTAAAAGCTAAGAATTATGTCCTAGGCTACTGTTTTCACCTCAACTAGTCTATACTAATCACGCCATTCGTTCCTGGTCCATTAAAGGGTGATGTTCCTGCCTCGTACAGTTTAAGGAGTAAATTAAATGTTTACTATTAGTCTATATAATGGTCTTGTGTATTTCTATATGCCAAGGAAGTTTGTGTTGTGTTGTGTTGTGTTGTGTTGAAAGCTTAATGTGTGCTGAAGACCTGGTGTGTTTAGACCTTTTGCTGAATCTCTCTCTCTCTCTCTCTCTCTCTCTCTCTCTCTCTCTCTCTCTCTCTCTCTCACTTATTTATTCCTTCCTTTGAAGAGTGGGAGAAAATGCTGTTCTTTGTTGCTTTCAAAAACGAGATGGTAAGATATACATTGTGTTTGTCTTTTGACTCTATTTCTCGCAATGATAAAATTGACCTTTGTTAACCTCTGCGTATATTACAGTCTGTCTCTTTTCTCCCTTCCACACTGTCGACGGCATTGTCAGTTACTAGATGTTATGATGTAGTTGTGATTAAATCTACGGACATTACAACCCGTGTTTCACTAGGTGATGTGTTAAAATCTACGGAAATTACAACCCGTGTTTCAGTAGGTAATGTCACCACTACTTGTTAACCTCCTCCGCCACTATTAACAGACATCTCCTGTTTCAATTCTCTCTTTCTCTCTCTCTCCTCGTATACCAATTCCTTTCCTTATATTTATTTAATTACTCTGGTCGCAGCTGCTGGAGAAGGAAAGGCTTGTTTTCAGTTCTATCTCTCTTAGTTTGTCCCCCAGAATCTGGTTTGTCGAGTTGTGTCATAAGAGGTAATGCATCTCCTCTTGTCACCTGAATCACGTGTGCACTATTCCTCTTGATTGGCAGAGGGGCCTTCACGCCTTTGTCTACAGGATGAAGGGAATCTTAATTTAGTTCCAGCTGCTAGGAGGGTGCCAGGAGTAGTGTCGCTGGGTGCCTAACTGGTGTGAGGTGTGGCACTGCTTACGTTCCTCTGGCTGGATGACTTACGTGATGGAAGTTTATTTTGTTAACAAGTTTTCTCTCTCTCTCTCTCTCTCTCTCTCTCTCTCTCTCTCTCTCTCTCTCTCTCTCTCTCTCTCTCTCTCTCTCTCTCTCTCTCTCTCTCTCTCTCTCTCTCTCTCTCTCTCTCTCTCTCTCTCTCTCTCTCTCTCTCTCTCTCTCTCTCTCTCTCACTCTCATCCCCGCCTGGTGCGTCGTGTCTTGACTGTACATCAAGCTGGCGAGCACTTTCACCCTCCTCCGCCTGCCGTGTGTGTCATTCTCCAGGAGGCGCTGATTTGCTACGACATAAAACACGCGGCAAATACGGTATTTTCTGGTTCTCACTCAGAAGGGTTGGATGGTGTCAGGGAGTTGTGGGGAATTTCCCAGGTAGAGGTGTAAGAGCCACTACTGAATCCTCTGACAACGAATCCCGAATCCCTGAACTCCGACCCCCGAACCTATGAACTCCAAACCCCGAATCTTTTAACTCCAAACCCCGAGCCCTTGAACCCCGTACCCATGACCCCAAAATCCAAAGCTCGCGACCCCGAACCTTACCTAAGCTCTGGAGTTTCGGGGATTCGGTATTGGTTTTCTTATTCTTCTCGTGTGCATCTCCTTGCTGCTGTGGGTGGCTGTGCAGGTCGTGGGGCAGTGCTGTGGGTGGCTGTGCAGGTGGGGCAGTGCTGTGGGTGGCTGTGCAGGTGGTGGGGCAGTGCTGTGGGTGACTGTACAGGTGTGGTACTGTTGGTGGCTAGGTTGTGGGGCAGTGCTGTGGGTGGCTGCAGGTGGTGGGGGCAGTGCTGTGGGTGGCTGTGCAGGTCGTGGGGCAGTGCTGTGACTGTACAGTGGTGGGGCAGTGCTGTGGGTGGGTGTGCATGTTGTCGGGCAGTGCTGTGTGTGGCTGTACAGGTGGTGGGGAGCACCTCTCTCTCTCTCTCTCTCTCTCTCTCTCTCTCTCTCTCTCTCTCTCTCTCTCTCTCTCTCTCTCTCTCTCTCTCTCTCTCTCTCTCTCTCTCTCTCTCTCTCTCTCTCTCTCTCTCTCTCTCTCTCTCTCTCTCTCTCTCTCTCTCGTGTATTTACTAGCTGCCTCACAGTAAAGTGTTAAAGAGAATGAGATTCGAACTTGGACCTCTGGAACTTAAGATAAAGTCCTCGACTCTCAGGAGAACGTGAGGGGTGGTGGGAGGGGGAAGGTGAATAGAAGGAGATAAAGGGGGGAGGGAGGAAAGGGGGAGGGGTCATGACGCTGGGAAGAGAGATACTGGCTGGCTCTCTGACTTCTGATAATTACCCGTTGTTTTAATTGTTTCTTTCTTTCTTGTTTTTTTCTCTTCCTTACTCAACTAATAACATCATCTTTAACTTGGGTGTTTATCTTACCCGTCCGACCGTCCGCCTGAGCCCCCACCCACCCACCCACCCACTCACCCACCCTCTTGCTAAATAAACTCCCTCAGTGCTCCGTGAATGACTCTAGGGCGTAACACAAACATTAAGAGATAGACAGGAAGGAGAGTTAGCCTGTGTTTTGTACTTTGGAACTCAGCTTGTAGGTCTCTCTCTCTCTCTCTCTCTCTCTCTCTCTCTCTCTCTCTCTCTCTCTCTCTCTCTCTCTCTCTCTCTCTCAAGTTATTTTGTCTCGGGTCTGGGTCCAAGTCCAGGATGTTCATTTACGCCCAAATATTTCTACAGCTGAGTGTTGTACGGGAGAGACAGGTGTGTTTACGGCAGAGACAGGTGTGTGTACGGGAGAGACAGGTGTGTTTACGGATGAGACAGGTGTGTTGACGGTAATCTTTTAGGACAGAAAGTTAAAGCAGAAAATTGTGATGAATTTTAGGAAAGAGACATCCAGGAGATTGATGACGTTTAATGATGGGGGAGAGTATTTACTAGAGTGAAATGGGAGTAATCTAGGGTGACACACTATACAATCTAGGGTGACACACTATACAATCTAGGGTGACACACTATACACTCGAGGGTGACACACTATACACTCGAGGGTGACACACTATACACTCGAGGGTGACATGAACCTTACACAACCCAGCAATGCGAAAATAATGTACTAAAGAATCATATAAAAAAAGCTTTGTCGTGTGGAAAGAATCGAAGTAATAAGGAAAATTGATGAGGCCTATAGGAAGCTCTAATGGACGGACGGTACGGGCCACAACCATCACTCATGTCTCACGCCTTCTGCTCAGGTGACCCAGCAGAGGGCGAAGAGAGAGAGGGGCGGGAGGGGGTGGTGGTTCATATAACTACAGTGGTAAAGTGTTTATTTTGAAGGTTTATGGAGGGAGTTGAAGTCTAAATTTGATATGTGATAATTATTAAGAAGATTGTCATCTATACAGACCAAAACACTTGGGG